TCGGTCCGTATTCACTCAAGTAAAGATTTTCAGTAGACATTTAAGGTGTGTTATTTTGCTATATGCGTAAACATTTAAAATTTGCCTATTATAACGTAATGCAACTAGAATATTTATATAGTTTATATAAAAATTTAATGCATTTTTAATTTTATATTCATTTTGTTTATTTTTTATAATATTTCAAAATCAACCTCTACGCTTACAAGGCAGTTAACTGTTCAACTTACCTCTTAAATTAATTATAATTTAAAAGATAAGAACTTTTTACAAATTGATTATCAAGTGTTTAAAGTCTTGGACACCACTGTTTTAACTCTGTATAAGGAGTGGTACGGCTAATTAAAACATGGCATTTTTGATAAATTAAAAATTCACCTGAATATGACTGAATGTAAATTGCTATTAAATATGTTGGTGAATTAGTTACACTGAAAGTTTGTTAAATATATATTCCATCGTTGTAAAAATATTTGTTAGGTTTTCCTGGAAAAGGTTTAATGAAGTTAGCCAAACCAATAGAGATACTAATGAGGAGATGCCCGTCCAAAGGCATGTAAAGAAACTCAATATTCTTTGTTTCGTGGCCTTCAAAACCTCGTTTATGCGGAAATCGCTTTATACCTCTTAAAAGTTATAAAAATTACGTCATACAGGGCATTTTTTTACGCAACCCATATAATTGCATCTACCATGTGACACTTTTTAACAACAAAACCAGCTCATATGGTCCCTGTTTTCTTTGCTTCATTTCCGATCAGCTATTACGGACCCTTCAAGCTATCTATGAGGTAGTGTTATTGATAATTTATTGTAAATAAGACGTAATATAGGGTTTTCGCGTGCTCAAAAAGAGAGCAACAACAAGTTGAGACTTATTCACAATACATCCCCAATAACACTAAACCAAATACAACCTTGCAATAATGTATATCATCTGATTATAAGTTAATTAAAAATACAAGGATACCAAAATGTGAGCTTGTTTTATCAAATACCATTCGTTGCGTTAAAAAACACCCTGTCCAGTATTTCTGTTTTTGATACTTTGCACGAAAAAACCCCGCAATCTATTTTCATGTTAACAAAACAGTAGGTCAATGAATCCACGATCAAAGTCAGAAGAACAATATTAGAAGAGAGCTAAATTAAGAGAGTTAGTTAAGATCCGCTCAAATAAAAGTGAAAAAGGGTCACTACTTTAAAATAAAACAACATATGTTCGTAACGTATAAGAGGAGTGGTATGTTTTTATGGTAGTATAGCGGTTGGTATCGCTGTAAAACAGTTATGAATGGTTGCCAAGCAACCAACGGTCGATTGTATACCACCCACACGACGCTGAATCCTTCCACCCCCTTCCCGACCCATCAGTGTTATCTTGCAGGTCGAAAAAGTAGTTTCCTACCAAGCCATTCACTATAATAAATGTAAGATTCCCACCTCAAGGCAACCATACAAAGCATTTCTATAGCAATAAGTCTAAGCCTTCAATTATTTGTTGAAATCGTAATCAAATTACTAACAAAATTTATTTGAGTTTTGTATTTAATTCTAATCAATAAGATCAATTGTGTAATAATCCTAATGATGGACTGTTATTTGAAAAAAATCAGTCACCGAATGAAGCATGTATTTGAACCATTATTCGCTGACACACCAGCGCGCATCGTAGGGCAAAGATGAGTAGAGAGTTATTGTTGGGTGAATGTATTAACCGGTTTTTACTGATTGATCAGCTCACACCCTCTATTGGTTATATACAATAACTTAACTGTAAAAGTTTTATGAAATGTCTTTTAGATTAATTAGTTGAAGGACATAATAAACTTTGTGAAAATTTCAACATTGTGCTGAACATATAGCTTTCAAAACCTCCACCCCAGATTTGTAGACGACCACGGGGTGCTGCTGCAATAAAATTTAATGAGTCATTAATTTAAAAGACATGAATCAGCCTATTGTTGTCTGTGGTCATCTACCTTTGTGTGCAGTTCCAGTCTAGCCAGTAAGGTAAGCCGGAACAAACAAATATGCCTACGAAGACAAGAGTAAATACACATACGCAGAAACCATAAATATTTGGTAAAATTATTAATGCGCGTAAACCTTCCACTTACTAAGCATGTCGAATTAAAGGTCTCGTAAATCAAAACCAACATCAAAACCCATCAATACAACATGACCTTTGCGTCTGGTTGGTTCGCCACATATTCCCTGACAACTCCCCCACATGAGAGTGGTAATGCATTATAGACGTCGAGCTGTGGTTGGTCAATGCTATAAACAATACTACATCCAGCTTATCCAAACGCAAACATAATCCTGACACTACCATAGAATACATTTTATTCTATGACTATAAAAACTAATCGTATTGAAAAACTAATCGCGGTTTCAACTATGAACACGTTTTCGGATTTCTATTTAGGCCTAATCTTTTACCTTATTTTTCTGTTCTAATTATATTATTTTACACATGCTTCATTTGCTCGTAATTAGCTGTCAAATTATAATGAATCATTTATTGATTAGGTAATTATTCTTAAAGGAAATCAACGTTAACTGCAATGAGACTTCTTTGCTCCATAATTTACCTGGATTCTCAGTTATTAAAATGATAAGGTTTTGTTTATACCCGAAAAAAGTTTGATTAATGAGCAAGTAATATTCTGCTGGAGAAAGTACCTGTTGATATAATGGCGCACTACTTGGGTGCTGGTGTAGTGGTGTAACCCTCTTAGCTTATAAAGGGGGGGGGGGTCTCAGCGATGTGGTCTATGACGTCCAGGGAAGAAATAGGCAGGAGGAGAAGACGCCTTCTGTAGGGGCGTGCCGTCTGTTGAAGATCCTTAAAGAAACAAGGACTGGAACTGTGATTAGAAGTGAATTAAATTAAATTGCCTTCGGTTTAAAATATTATCCAATATACTCTGTGATATTGTTTGACATACTAGTTTGTGGTATAACAGTATATTTTAATGATGTGAATAAATAGCTAAATAAAAGATATTATTTTTTACCAAGAATATAATTCTATTTTAAATTATGATTGCGTATAGTTAAAGCATTATGAATAAGGAGAGTCTTAAAACCCTAAAACAACCACAATACGATTAGTTTGCTTAAGATAAACTAATGACTACAAAGTATCAGCTGAAATTCCTATTATTTTCCTTCACATACATCGAAATTTCCCCTGATCGAAATTTTAAAATAGGTCCCAAATAATCTAACTGCAATATTTCATTTTTAATTTCTTGAACTGATAATTTTAGTACATTCAAATGTGGTAAACATTGGGTTAACCCTTGTTTTATACCCTAACGAATAGAAAACCATTTACATTGAAAAACGTCTCAACTGAGATGAAAATTAAAGCACTAGTCTAACCACAACTTCATTTACATAAAATGCGATGTCCAGTCCCGATGGGTGCGGTTAACATGTTCACGTCACGTGATTATGTTGTTAATGTCACAAGTCGTGACGTCTGACAATATCTATTCTCACATATCTCAACACGGAAGATTATTATGAACAATATATCAGCTGCTTTTAGTAGAAATACTAAAAATAAGTCCTCAAGGCTCATGAGAAATTATTTTAATATAATATAGAAGCTGGTGGTTTATTCATAATTTAAATCACTTAAAATATACAAAACAAATATAAAATATTTTAAAATAAAAAGTTATGATAAAGAGTCTGTTTCGTATCATTTATACAGGGGAGCGAGCTGTTCCATTGGTTAGAGCGAAGGTTAGTCCCTGAGGTCCCGGGTTCAAATCCCGTCAAATCACCGATGGATTTTATCCAAGTGATATTGCTGCAACCCCTAGGTCTAGCCTGTAGTAATGTGAAAAAACAATCCCAAGCACGTGTACATCGTCCTAGGGCAAAAAAGTATCAGTTATACAGTAGTATAATCTACTAGCCAAACAAACACCTACCGTCCACAGTGAATTATTTAAATCAGCACCGATTTTAGTAAAAGGGGTTTTTCTTATTGCTTGCTTTTGGAACTGATCTCAATTCATCATGTTTTGGTGAGTTTTTATTATCATTCCATCTATTTACTATATCGCTCTTTTTATAACCGGAATGAAACATGAATGTACGATTTTGTGAGCAACCCCTGTTGAAAATACCCTACATAAAACAATATCTTTATGATCGATTATAACCAAGAAATTATATGTTAATGAAACACCTGGTTTGAGAATCCAAAATTATTTCTTGCTGTATGATGATGTCTAAAAGAAAAAAATATCCATACACTATCCCAGGTTTAAGTACTGCTACTCGTTCTCCGGTTATTATCTTTCAATTAGGGAAATTATTGGAACATCCTGTATTGACTTACTTGCCTAAAGCTTATTACTTATCGAAGGCTTGGCTAGGTAAGATAAACTTTTGGACTTAAACTTACATTAATCTTCCCCTTACCTCTCCGACTACTCAGCCTACCTTGTAAATTGATGGAGTTTGGCTTTTAGTATGATAACTCCTCTTCCCACAGAGGACTTTAAGTTAACCTGACACATTAATTAGACTTTACCGTCCATACAACATTTGCCTCGTATAGCATGTATTTAGTGTGATAACCAAATATATTTGTGATAAAATATATTTTGTTGAACGACTAATAATATAACATATACTAATACTAATATACTAATGTCCATGCTAATGGTCCATAAAAAAGTATTATTTGAAAGGAACATAATTAATCGATCATTTTTTAACTACCAAAAAGTATTTTTATAAACAAAACTTGAGGACTATTAAAAGTGCCGAACATTTGTGTGAATTTTGTACATCATGTACAATCTTGTTGATATTATTAAGCTTTCTCCATAAATTCCTAAGTACCTTAGAAATACTAAATCAATGTTTAAACTAGTTAGTTTTAGTAATTTAACTTGAACAAATCAGGAAGAACAAACGTATTATAAAACGTTTAATTATAATAGAAGGAGGTAATAAAACAAAAATAGTTATATGTTTAGTTTTATTAGCATAAGATATTTTACACTAATTACACATTAGTTTAGGCCATTTGACTTAAGATTTTATAATAATGTGATTATGTTTTGAATATATATATTCGAGCTATATGTCTACTGACAAGTCTATGTAATCCAATATTAATCTGATGAGTGTTTAAAACTCCATTATAGAGCTTTTAACAACAGTTTAAACGATTTACTGTTTAGGTTACAGAAAATACTAAACTCTAGATATTATTGTTTGTTTGAGTTTACACTAAATTTTATAACCTCACTTATGATTTTAAAAACATACAATTTAATTTATACTTGAACATATTCTATTTATCTTTGTCTGGCTAATAAATTATTAAAACAGCGTGTTATCACGATAGACCTGGTAAGCATGTTAACATATTATCCGTATGGTAAAACATTATCGTCACATGTAAAATTCAGACGTGACATAACATTTTCAACACGAAATCCAAAAAACAAAATAATAATTCAGTAGAAGTATACAATAAGCAATTACACTTTGTGTGCCGTAAATTTGTTCTTATAAAAATAGTAACATTTCCACGTACAGTACCAATGTGGGGATTCTAATCCACTAAGAATCCTCGTGAATATGCATGAAACACGAGTTAGCCCCTTTGCGTTTACACATAATTAATTCAACATTTAATAAATCCAACGTCAAAACTTCCCAACAAGTATAATATTAACTACACACATTCAAGAAGAATATTAAAAATTGAAACACTTAACCTTAATATATCTAATAGTATCTCAAGTTTACAGTTTATATCAGATATGATAATATGTTAAATTAATTTATATATAGTAAGACACAATAAAAGAGAGATATTTAATACACACAATATTCAATGTGACACATTTAATCTTTATGAAAATATAACCTAAACTATGAAAATACCTATAACATTAATTTAATACAGATATATTGCAACAATTTAATAGTATATTAAAAAGGTAAGACTATTTCAAAATTAAAAATATAGAATCCTATATTTCATTCTAGAAACTTTTTTTTCACAATAATTATATGTATAACATCCGTTAGCTTTATTTGTTCTATTATGATTTGATTTCGTGGTAAAAATTAAAAAAGTAATCAAGTATTTTTATGAAATATCACAGACGAATTGTCTCAGAGGCAATTTGTATTTACATCGAACAAAAATATATCACTTTTAAACATAAAAATGTTACATTCAGTCATTATTTTCCGAAACACTAATCTAACAAATGATTGGAAACATCTAAATATTGATCTGACATCTATGAGCCAAAACAACTAGTAAGCTAACACTTATAATAACAACATCAGCAGTTTTAACAGCAACAAGTCAGTCAAGATAACAACAATGCAGATGGAAAATACAGCCAAAGATACAGAAGAAAGCGACTCGCCTCAAATATTATAATCATTTACGAAAGTGCAAATTCAAACGATTTGTTCGTTGTACACGAGACGACAGATAACGCATAGCTAAAAGAAATATTGTTAGGAAACATTCAACATTGATATGTTGGTGATACTTTAGTTATCCGAACAGATCTATACGAATTGGCAGGTAAAAACAATAAGAACGTACCAACAATTTTCACACCGTAACAAAGTCTTTGGTAATGTCTAGTGACAAATTGTTAAATAATACTATATTACCTTCAAACGGTAAACAATGATCATGATTGTAGTCGTAAAAGAACAATGTTGATTGTATATACAAATATTGTCTGAAGTGCAGAAACATTATCCGATAAAAAATGTAATACTATGACGAATAATAAAAATTTCCAAATATTATTTATTTTTCGTCAAGGTTGCGTCTATATTATTAAGATTTTTTTTATAGAATTACGTCACAAAAACATCAACAAAAGCAATAAACTAAAATCACTCTTAAAAGTAGTAGTCATACAAATATATAAAATCCTTCAAGTGAAACCATTGCGCTAATAATTGTAAAGAAAATTACTCTTCAATTTGTGATTTTTTGGTTTATTTTCTGATTGCTAACCAATGGTTGTAAATATTACACACAAGATATATATTTTAGATAACACCCGTTAATAAAGTAGTTTATTTTATATTGTTTTTAAATAGTATAGTAATAGCCCACTCATATTATATTTAATGCAGTTTTATTTATTTTTTTACGACTCAAGTTGTAAGAAAAGTTTGTTTAACCGTAACCTTAAAAAATAATTTAACTCTAGAGAAATTCATATAAGTTTCTCAAGCAGTTTTATTTCGTATTTTCCAAGGTACAAAATTTCAAAGTTTGTCAAATCCAGTTAGAATAAATCGCATGACGACTGACAGAACGATAAACAACTGCAGTGATACATGTTTCCTAAATTATGCAGCCGTAATCAATATCTTTGGAATCACAATTCAGCCTTTTTAGATTAATTTATATATAACCATCGACTATTGGATATTGAAGTATATATCCAATCTACTATAGACCAAATTTTCTACCAACATGTTTGGCTCTCTTTTGAATAATTAAATATCCTGTAAATCATTTTCAAACAGTTTACAAAAGTTTCATAGTTTCCAATGTGCGATGCTTTAGTTTGTGCCCTGGAAGCACGGCTGTACTCCCCTGACTACGCCTGACAGAGGGATCCTATGGGACCCCCAACCCTCCTTGGGTCCTGCTATGGGGTTGCCGACGAACGTCTCTGGAACCACCGTAGCAGCCATGACGTAGTAGCTCCTGGCCTGGTCCTGCTGGTAGCTGGAGACTAGGAGTACCAACATTACAATTACCCCTCCGCTGGTGAAGCCTATCAGACCTGCAACATCACAAATAATGTAATTTAATATAGATATATAAGTTATAACACAAAAGTGTATTTCCAAACACTGTTATTATGAAGTGGTTTTCCATTCGGCGGTGTGACTTCGGGGCCACAATGCTATATCTTGAGTTCTCAGATGACTATGACAAACTAAGCATAGAAAAACGTGGAACGAGTGTCCGCCTTTTTCTGTGCTTTTAACAATACAAAAAATACATAAACGTTACCAGTCTTCAGTTTGGGAAGTACTAATCGAAATATAATCGATTCCAAAACGCGATTCTAATGGCTTAGATTATTTCAGGAATTGAAACTCCATAAGTTATAATTATTATTATTTTTAACGTGTGTCAGTGGTATGTATTGAAGTTTGAACATAAGAACAACAGTGAAACAACCTTGGTCGTATATCATAAACTCTCTTCAATGTAATGTCCGATTTGATAATGAGACATATGACCCATTATTATGTGGATGGGCGAGGTACATTAACCTATTACATAATCTACTTTCTCAGTCTTGGATATAAAAAAAAATAACCAATAAATTTTCTCCGCCTGTAACATAAAAGTGAGTGTTAAAAAATATAAAGCGATGGTTGGATTTAATATGAATATCAACCTAGATTCCCCAGAAGTATAAGTAAACAGAACTTTCAAGCATAATTCTTCTGAAGCGATGAATTAACACAATGATCAGCTGTGACTGACCTGCCAGCTGACAGATGATGAGTCGGTTGTTGTAGGTTACTGCCCAGCTGTCTAGAACAGTGTAATGGTCCTGCTGATGTACCACAGTGTCCCTTGGCGCAGTCAGGTGACCGACCAACATGGCGATGATCCCGACCAACATGAGGTTGACCCCGACCCAGAGGCCCACTCTCAGCCAACAACCTCGCCAGCGACGCTTGCCCGGCTCCACGAGGAACTGGAAGTCGTCCTCCTGGAAACATGAGTCACCCACTTTGAATATTCTGTGTCTAATGCAATGGTAACACTATTTTTCTAGATTTAAATCTCTAATATTTGATTTTAATTCCATTTTGTAGCCCCTGAACTGCGTAGTAAGACTGAACTGGAAGACGAGGTATGTAATAAGTTTAGTCTAATATTTGACTATGAAGTAGTGGACATCTTTCCACGTTAAAGTTGTATCCAGTTTCACAATGGAAACGTAGTTGACTAACTCCACCGACAGTGTGTTCGTGTTGCTGTCAATTACTGATTTATGTTGTTTACGCCAATGTTTCGACCAACTGAGAGATAACTTACTGTACTCTAAATCTTCTTTGCACCAACTATTTCAAAGTACACAGAAAATTTAGAGGAAGTATAATTTTTTTTACAGTGACACCCTCTGTAAACGACCCATTTAGCTATGTTCCAAAAAAATTAAAAATTGGCTTTAGTTAGCTCAAAGATGAGATGTTTACTTATAGATGAGACGTCTAGGTATCAGTTAAAAAGTATTTTGTCTAAATAATGAACTAAAAAGATTTATGTCAAACTTTATCAAACACAAGGTTTGTATCTATCATTATTTCTATTGTAATATGATATTTTGTAAAAACTGTAAAAATGATAATTTTCTACGAAATGAATAAATTTTGATTTGATTCTTTGTTATTATTTGCCAAAAAGATAAGAAATAAAGCGGTTCAATCATCTCTTTGTTGAAATTTTTCTTTCTGAAAATTTTATTTTCCTGCGAAAATTTTAATAATTACTTAAGTAGAATTTTTAATTAAAAGTGAATCGCATTCTTAAAATTTTACTCAAAAACAAGACGGATTTTTCAGTTAACTAACAAGCTATCTTCCGCACATAAAACCCTCATCACAGCAGATTTATAGAAGAAAAACTCACTCTTCAAGATAATTAAAAGTAAATTTCTATGAGTGGTATTACCTGTATGTATTCTCCACTCTTGAACACTTCCCTGTCTGGGGGATCGTAGAAGTCGTGGATGTAACTCTTGATGCCGTAGTAGATAGGACATCTTGCCCTCGCAGGCTCTTCGGCGGGTTTCTTCTCTTCGCTCGGGCTGTTCACGGGCTCACTTATCGTTATTCTCGGATTAGTGCCGTTCGTGTAGGTCAAATCTTCGTCTTCAGTGTCACTTATCTCTATCTGAGTGTCGCTAAAAGTCACGGTTCTATCACTTTCTTTCTTTCCATTGTCTCTCTTATGCTCTTCGTGTAATTCTGCTGTTTTCTTCGATTCTTCGACCATATCACTTACTTGCCTTCCATTGTCTTTTTTCTTACCTTCGTTTATACCTTCAGTTTTCTTCAATTCTTTAACAATATTATTTTCTTCCTTTCCTGTGTCTTTATTTTTCTCTTTGTTTACTTTTCCCTCGATTTTCTCATCCTTGTCTTCGTTCTCACTAGAGTTTGGTTTTACACTTTCACATTGGGCGGACTGTTTACTTGGTGAAGGGGGTTCCATTCTGCTCAATCTACGGTGATCATTTTGTTACAATCTGGAAAAATTCAAAAAATTATTTTTAAATGTAACATTATGCTTTAAAAAATACTTGACCGTTTTAGCAATTATGCTAAAACAAATTGATATATTCTGTACATTTATACATAGCTTGATTATAGCTGTGTGAATTCATGCAGTTGACTAATATTAATATTGCAAGTTTAAATAGGCCTAAGCCAACAACTTTTTTAATACACAACTTTTTTAATATTTCAGAAGATATATATAACAGAAGTTTTAGTTTAGGTTTGACACTAATGTGAATATTTGAAAGACACTCTGGTTTACGACCATAAACTCCAAAGTTTGCAGATAAAGTGCTTGTCTGGCGAGGATAATGCAACTCACGACCGTAAACGCTGAATAAGCTTGAATAACGACCGTCCGATAGTTGTTATATCGTATAGTGCTATCACTGTGGCTGATATACTTGTGTACATTGTGTGTAGCCACTGGGTATCACTACGTTGAAAATTACACGATAATCGTGGTTTAGTGGGAATTATGGTGAACGTGTTTATTTAGTTTATTTGTTACTGAAGTGGAATTCCCGATAATATGGGCTAATTGTTAACAAAATTATGATTATAAATACTAATGTGAAGTTGGCTTGTGATGTTTGTACTAAAATCACAATTTTTTTGTGGTTTTAAAACGTCAGATACAGAATTAAAAACCCAATAGGCCTAGCTTGGCGGCTTATTAAACGTGTAAAATCAGTTGATTTGTCATAAACATAGTAACACAAACAAATTGATAAACTTGTTCCAACATAGTATAGAAATATTACATAAAATCAAAATAATTTAAAATAGTTTTTCAAAGAAACTACTAAGTGACAAAAAGGAGATAATTTGTTGAAACTATTGAGTATACATAAATTACACTCATAAAACTACCATTTATTTTTTATTATAACCTAAAATAAGATACAGAAATTCATTTTACTAATACTATATTCAGTATTATAACTGTGATTTTTAAATAATAGTTTACTAGTTTAGTGAGAATAGTTTCGATTCTCGTGTGGCAATAATGTAATAAATTTATTCAAACTCATTACTATTTTCAAACTATCTTTACATGTAGATAAGCTGTATAAGCCCAAGGGTTTTCAGTTCTCTTGTATTACATACTAGTACAAGTAGTCATAGCTGTTATTGCTTAAACAAAAATCTATAAAATGCAGCAACCTTACGCAAGATAGAAATATTTTCAGAACATTGCCGTGTTTCCAAGATATATCTCAACACAGAAGAGCACCGTTCACATAAACATTCAGTGACACACCATATATTTCCGCCGTACTTTCTTGCTATTTTATTTCATGAGAATCAGCACATAAAACTGCTCGGACTTGGTATTTCCAACATGTGTCAATTCCATTTATATCTGCTATTGAGATCATACGCTAGAAGTCACCTAATGTTTTTTAATGTTGTCAATTTAATCTCTGAGCGAGATATATAATTTTATAGTGACTGGAAATTATAATTACAGCAGCATTTCGCAATATAAAATTGTCTGATTGAAAGTAGAGGATGTGCAATGTTTCTAAAGTGTTATATTATTATTTTACTGATATTTCAGTAATACGAATAAATATAAATATTTGTTGACGAACCCTCCAGTAATATCATGGTTAACATTTTTACTTTTTTCACTGCAATCCAATAAATGTGCTAGGTATAGTGTAAATATTTAACAGAATCCTTTGAGACTTTAAAAAATAATTGTTACTTTGACATAAAAAAATCGCTTCGCTGTCAAACTAATTCTCAATCCCCTATTCACAGCTAGGTATAATAACAGTAACAAAAAACGGGTAACTTTCATGCTTATTTCTTGAATGTAAAAATTTTATGCATTTCTAAATCGTGTTAGATCAGGTCCAAGCATAAGTTTGTAACCTGGTAAAAAGTTAAATTAATAAACCTACAAAAGCTGAGTCCAGCACAGAGCTTTCTCTATAGCCAACTTTCCGTAATATAAATTAACCTTGAATATTTTTGTTGTACTTTTGTTGATGGGAAAGATTGCGATTATATTCAACACCCCAAATTCTTAAATGTATTTTTTAATACTGTACAGCTATGAGACGATTACACTTGGGTACATTGTATGTATATTGTGATCATTATATTATATAAGCAATATAATACATTCCTATCATAACTAATTGTGGCTTTGAGTTTAGTTAGGTAATTATGTCTTTATATTTTACCATCCGAAATCCATCCTCATAAAATGCATAAATATATTTTTATGTTTCAAGAATTACTTTTTTGGTATCAATCATAGTTAGTGAAAGTAAAATATATATTACTATACAAAGAAAATATTCTTAGAATTTATTTTGTCACTAGCTGCCATAATGACAAATAACAATGGCGGGAGGCGTGCCATGTAGACGTTTAAAGTTGTTTACAAGGTCTGTGCCTTTGTGCCGAGACAGCTGTTTGTTTAGTTAAAGGGACATTCCCTTTGAGATAATAAAAAGCTCTTACTTCTTTAAATAAGGAAAGTCTGGTGGCCGTCAGTCTGCTTTATACTAATTTAATAGACTTTTTTTTATAAATAATCCTAATCCAGAAAAGTACGGTAGTGAATTTCCGTTATTGTACATAATATTAATAATAAATATACGATAATATTAATTATTACGATAATTAATTAATTAATTACGATAATTACGATAGTATCATAGTTTTTCTACTTTCACACAATACCTTTACAATAAAGCTATGATTTTTCTTTATAAATTGAATTGTGCATTTACACCCCTGTTGCTAACCCAAGATAAAACGACCAGTTAACATAATATATCACAAATAATGAAAACAACTTAATATTTACAGAAATAAACCACATATTCACAAAAATAATTTATTAGTGTACAGCAACACAGTATTAAAGAACATATAGCAACGTATGTTTACGACAACACAACAACATATATAAAACATGTTCCGAGCACGAGGAGGCCCTTTAAGCTCTGTACACGTTCACTCTAAAGGGAACCCCTTTATGAATTTGTTCGAGTGAAAATTCATCGTTACTGAATTCTGTGTTTATATTATAAACTAGGAACCCCTCGTGGTAAAGGTTTGGCGGTTTTAGTGGCTATTAAGCAGTAAACATATTATTATATAGTATAAACCAGTTGTAATCGTCCTACAGTTGAAACATTTGCAATGTATTTCTGTAACATTGTTTTTTTCTACTTCCTTGACATATGTGTTCAAAAAATCTTTGAAATATTTATTTAATACTGAATGCTTTAAATATGCTAACCTATTACTGAAAATAATCAATATTTTCACATCTTTTTGACGGTACAATGTGCTTTAAACAAATGGGTATATTGTTTTAATTGGAATTCTACTCATATTGGTTACCGTATTACTACACTGTCTGATATTAGTTTAAATTACCAAGTTTGCATTATGCGTGGTTTTTAAACCCTTCTTTTACTCTGGATTTTTTTTTTAAATATTGAATAAAGGAATTGGAAAGTTTGCTTAGAATTCCCCGTTATGCGAAATCTTTAATCTTTTCAGCAATAACGAACGAACCACCCAAGGTTTTATTTTGCAATTGCAAACAAACACCAGGAAAACAGACAACATTTTATATGCATTCAACTAAACGTATTATTTACAATAATTAAATAAATAAGCTAGAGCTTTTGACTAACGAAACAAGGCAAATACAATATTACTAATATTCCCTTTTCTATTTAATTCCCAAATATATTGTTCGCCACTCTCGGCAGGTCTGGAATATTTTAAATCATTTAAATCATTTATATCATTAAATATTCTTTATATCATTTAAATATTCTTCGCTATGAATGGAAATTAAGTTCCCCTCCACTCAGATATTGGGTCTATCTCCTTCATCCGTGACTTTCAATATTAAACGCTGAGCTTATAAGAATTGTGTAAAACAAGTTTTAAAAATCTAATTCACTTGAGCTGGAGTCAATGCAGACGTTTTGACATGATAATGTTGGATTTTTGTGTTGATATGACGACCTTGACACAAATAATTATTCTGAACTATTTCAATCGTGTAAGCACACAATTTTTCATCAAACATAAACTATCGTCTTTAGACCACGTTCAGAAACAGCCGATTCCTCTAATTAAAGGGGTTGAGAAGGGTTACGTACGTAAGAAACCGATTGTTATGTGATTTAAAGCACAATTTTTACAAAATAAGAAAAAATATATATTTATAATATTCCTTAACTAGAGAAATATATTTGAATAGCTATATTACAATTCATCATACAAAATTATTTGGCTGATTGAGCTGAGGTACTGAGGGGACACAAGAGGTCTGGTTTTTAAGTCTGAAATCCATCCATTGGATTTATTCTAATTGGAGAAATTCTCAAACTATATTTGTATACATTTGCTAATGAAAACACAGGCTTAACGTGGAACAATTAGTCTAAACATTAAATATTTAACATAACATTAATTACTATAAATTATCAAAATAATTCACAACGCCACTTTGAAATTCCAGTTCAAAATATAACAATTAATTAAGTTTATTTCAGCACAACAAATACACAATTAATACTTTACATCAGAATACTGGAACAGTTTTAGTTTAACATCAGAATATTGGAATGTTATATATTGGTACATGAGTAAGGTAGGAAATAGTAGTCAAACGAATGTAATTTTTGTAATTATATTGTTATATAATCTAGTAAATCAATCTTATTCGAATCGGTGGACTAAGAACTAATTATCTATTTTGAAATGTTAATTGAATACAAAATATGTTAAATATAATAAGGAATATAGATTATAAACGTAATAACAGGACTCAGTGATTAAACGATTAAACAAAATATGGTAAATATAATTAAGAATATAAATCTAAGCATAAGAAATGAATTTAGTGATTAGATGCATGAAGAACATCTTGTATTTTCCTCTTCACAGTCGTCCAACTTAATTTAAATGTATACTATAT